TCTCTTTTGCATTAGATGGAAATGTGTAAAGTATTAAGGATACAGTTGTGAATGCGCTTTCGATGCAAGGTGGCTTAGGGAGATTGTCAGCAGTTTTTAATCTTGTGCTCCAGTTTTGCTTCTCCAACTCCTGCTGCCTCTCTTTGGATTTAATGGGGACTGGAAACTCATTCTGTAACAGACTGGAGCCACAATACAACCACCACATTGTTATTATACCAACGACAGGTTCAGAATTTAGGCCTGCTAGACTGACACCAGTTCAGTTACTAATGGAAAGCTGTAGGAAAGTATGCTGGGTCTAATTGAACAGGGAATATATTCCAACACCAATTCACACATACTGCAAAGCCCCTCACAACCTGCTCATTACCATGTACCTGCCCCTACAGGTATCATGCAAAGTGTCACAACATCATTATGGTTAGGAATTTTACAGAATTTTGCAGCACACTCGGAAGGCATTCAGAAGGGCATGCCCACGCTTTAAAAGATTGATCCAATTAGTTCCGCTCACTGGCACATTCTCCATCGATCTGCAGATATCCTACCTTCAAATATAAAACCAATTTTCTTTGTAAAACGTCATAACTTAACTGGGACGATTGAGCTACTAACCATGCCTCATTATTCTATATGCCATCACAAAAGGTATAAAATCTAAATTAAACCATCATGACGACCTACTCAGGGCAAAAACAATTCACACCAGGATTTGTCGTTAGTAAAATATAACCAATTGTTACAATACACTTGATTTTGACAAACAGCAGAGAAAACAAAAGATTCTTGATCTGCTGCAAAACTGCTTAAAACTTTAAAAATCTCAAATACGCACACACTCATTCATAAATGAAATAAACAAGACAGATGGTTGGATACCTATTGACAGGGAACAAAATTCTGAAAACTAAGTTCAGATCACAAGGATGGGTTAAATTGTTCCTCAGTTTCTTTTGATTTTAGCAATGATGGCACTCTGTTGTCAGTAAAGCAAAGGGCTTTCTTCATTTCAATACATAATGTAGTGGACCAAGGTCTTTTTTTGTTGCATTCTTTGTTTGAAACTTCCTTTTTTCACCCACACAGAGGGGTGGTTGGGGGGGTGGGGGGAGGTGGTAGACAACTGTGCTCAGGTCGCAGGCTCTGGATGTCTCTGGTTGCTGTGCATTTAGATTTGTGGCAAGCTACAGCTCAACCAATCTGAGGGCTTTTGTTAATGACTCTTGGTGTCACTTGACCTTGCTTTGGAAAACAACACAGCTAAAATTGTGTACCACTTAATTTTTCCCATATGCAATCTCTCCAAATATTTCAGTTTACAATTCAAACCAAGAAAAAAAAAAAAAATCGCTTAAACAAGTTGTTACTGAATCTGCTTCTGTGCCATTTTCTTGAAGCAGCTCTGATTCCAATGTCATGATCTTGCCAAAAGTATGGAGGAGACTCTCTCACACATGTGAACAATGTATTTTGCTGCATTTCAGGTCAGTTTCAAGCAGTGAAGCTCTAGGGAAATTTCTGGCCTTTATTTAAGATGGATCAGGAGAACTTTGGGAATGATTTTAACTTTTCTGACAAAGTCAATAACAGATATTGGTAAATCAGCTGCCTCCAATTTTTCCTGTTTTCCACTGGAGTGAAACAAAGAACTGTGGATACTCGAAACCTGAAACCAAAACACAAATTGCTGGAGAAACTCAGCAGGTCTGGCAGCATCTGGAGAGAGAAAGCATAGTTGGTATTTCAAGTCCAGTGATCCCTCATTAGAACTGGGATGTATGACGAAGGGTCACTATATTGGCAGAGGTGCCAATATTTGCATAAGACATTAAAACCCAGGCTGTAGCTGGCTGTTTCTTCTGGCTGAAATAAACTTTAAAGGTTTTATCCAAAATCCATCCTTAGTGTCATGGGCAACAATCATGCCTCAACTGACATTAGCAAATGGAGAATGGCTGATCAAGAATCTTTTGATTTGATTTGATTTATTGTCACATGTCCCAAGTACAGTGAAAAGTTTTGTTTTGCGTGCAGTACAGGCAAATCAAACCATACAAAGTGCATTCGGGTAATAGAACGGACCTAGGAATATAATGTTACGACTGCGGAGGAGGTGCACAAACAGTGAGGTCAACATTAAATTTGAAATTTGACAGGTCCATTCAGAAGTCTAGTAACAGCAGGGAAGAAGCTGTTCTTGAATCTGTTGGTAGGTGTGTTATTTTATTAGAATTTGTGGGATCATGCTGTGTGAAAAGCGATTACTGATTTTGCATGCTCAACATCAGTCCTTTCACTTCAAAGTGATCCACTGCCTCGAGAAGTATTTACAGACAGTGTATAAATGCATGTCCACCTTTTCTCAGAAGGGATCTGGCTCAACAAGAAACAGACCTCCCTCAACATGTAGCCCTGTGTTGGTCCGACAACTGTTCCAATTTATCTGAAAGTAACAAGTCATCGAAATTGGTTGCAGATAAATAGCTGTTGGCATCACCTTTGTGTACAATAAGGAGACAGTGATGTCAGTGAACAGATGTACAGCCCTAACCCTGCATCCCCGAGGAGCTTAAACACCTGCCAGTTGCTCTTACAGGTTAGCGTCAAGGCCATACATCCCGCACAAAGCAAATAAACGTGTTCATTTTTTGCCACCAGAGAAATGGAATCTCCTACAGTGAGACTTCAGCTCTTTTTTTTATTTGTTCATGGGAAGTGGGCTTAAACAGGTTCAATAACCAGCAAGTGAGATAGCAAGAACTGCAGATGCTGGAGTCAGGGCATGGTGGCTCAGTGGTTAGCACTGCTGCCTCACAGCGCCAGGGATCCGGGTTCGATTCCAGCCTCGGGCGACTGTCTGTGTGGAGTCTGCACATTCTCCCTGTGTCTGCGTGGGTTTCCTCCGGGTGCTCCGGTTTCCTCCCACAGTCCAAAGATGTGCAGGTTAGGTGAATTGGCCATGCTAAATGGCCCGTAGTGTTCAGGGAGGTGTAGATTAGGTGGGTTATAGGGGGATGGGTCTGGGTGGGATGCTCTGAGGTTCGGTGTGGACTTGTTGGGCTGAAGGGCCTGTTTCCACACTGTAGGGATTCTAAGAGAGATAACACAGTGTGGAGCTGGAGGAACACAGGCCAGGCAGCATCAGAGGAGCAGGAAAGCTGATGTTTCGGGTTGGGACCGTTCTTCAGCAAAACCAGTTTTGTTTCAAAATAGTCGACTTTGGAACCCTGCAGCCCAATGGTATCAATGTGGACTTCACAAGCTTCAAAATCTCCCCTCCCCCTACCGCTCCCAAAACCAGCCCAGCTTGTCCCCGCCTCCCTAACCTGTCCTTCCTCCCACCTATCCCCTTCTCCCATCTCATCCCCACCCCCGTCCCCTACCTACTAACCTCATCCCGACCCCTTGACCTGTCCGTCCTCCGTGGACTGACCTATCTCCTCCCTAACTCCCCACCTACACTCACCTTTACTGGCTCCATCCCCGCCTCTTTGACCTGTCTGTCTCCTCTCCACCTATCTTCTCCTCTATCCATCTTCTATCCGCCTCCCCCTCTCTCCCTATTTATTTCAGAATCCTGTTCCCCTCCCCCATTTCTGAAGAAGGGTCTAGGCCCAAAACGTCAGCCTTCCTGCTCCTTGGCCTGCTATGTTCATCCAGCTCTACACCTTGTTATATCGACTTCAGTTGTGCGTTGAGTTAACAAGCCACATTTTCCCCATTAAAAATATGGGTATTAGGCATTTTTGTACATCAGTTGGAGAAAGCAATATTTTGCCTCTTCATAACGTTGTGAAAAGATCAGGAAGAAGTCTGCACACAGGTCTGTCTGGATGTGCCTCTATAAGTGATGTTTACATAAATTATAGCAGCTACTAAAACAGATAGATCAGTGTAAAATAAAAGGCAAATTTACCAGTGAGAGCACACCAATGACTGTTGCTGAGCCCTGCTTTTTCAGCACCTCTGTCGTGTAAGTGGCCAGGGTTGATTGCTAGAGTCAATGAGTACTGACACGAAATGAGATTGTCCTTGAATATCAATTTAGGGTGGGGACAATCTCAGACCGTCCTGCTCTCTGGTGCCCAGCTGCTCAGTGGGTACACGGTTGGTCAAATGAATCAGGGTTCTGAAAATCATTGGCTACGACCCTGTGCCTCTCCTCCCCTTTTCCCTTTCCAACAGAGGTCATGGGATGAGAATTTTGCATTGTGAATTCTGAAGCCATTGAGCAGCCACTGTGCAGTGGAAACTGTCTGTCAGTAAAGTTCCAGGACCCACATCAAGGCCTCAAGGAGATGTGCTGAGAGGAGAGGAGAGTGAATGAACTTTGCACAAGCCACCTCACAGGCTGTCATGAGTGGGCTTGCTCTTCTTCCTCTGGGCACACACTGAAGGCCAAATACCCCCTGCCGCTCAAAAACTCTCGCAACCCCCGAGATTTTCAACCATCGCAGCCAGCCCCCACCAACAACATTAAAACTGGGTCACATCAGGAGAAAGCTTGGAAAGCATTGCAATCTGCTTCGTGCATTATCTTCTGAACTGGGTAATCCTGCACATCAGGGGAGCAATATCATATTAGAGAGAGGACCCACCATGAGATTATGTGATGGAATGCATGTTCCCCACATGTCACCAATGGGTATTATAATTCAGATACGAGGAGGCAAATCTTCTCTTCACTATCTGGATGGAAATTAGCTGAGCATATTAGTCTCCCATTCTTAAAGTCTCCCAATGTTCAGAGTGGAAATCAGTCAGATCTTACAATGCATAGGTCATTCCCTCACCCTATCACATGATCACGCAACAGTAAAGGTCAGGACACTGTTCCGCAACAACTTCCCCCACCCCACCAAGGTATATGAGAGAATCATTCAAGTTACCTCCTCTGCCTCTCAAAACCTGGCTCAGTTTTGTAGCATGAAATATTACAGTGAGTCTGACAGCTTGCACATTACATTGACAGCAATATGAGAGGAAGAAATTCATACCTTAATGCCACCCCATGACTTGTTGGAAAGGAAATCCACGGGACTTGAGAGTCCTGGCTGAGCTGGATATCGAAGCAGGAAATCTAGCTCCTTTGGGTTAATTTCTTTGTTAATCAGAAGAATCTGTCAAATTAAAGGGAACGGAGAAATATTTTAAAAAATGGTGGTAGCTATTCATTGCTCTGCAGTACCCAACTGACGAAACCTAGCAGCAGTCACCAGCATCTACTTCCAAAAATATTTACTTAACAGTAGTCAGATAAAACTTCAGATCTGTTCTAATATAGCCTTGGGTCTGTAGTTTCCCATAGTTTTAAGGGAGCTTAAAAACTAATACAGTGAAAAGGGTCACTTATTGCTTCTTGAGTTATTCTAGCATTGATCATACCAAGCCTGTGAATCATTGCTGGCATTTTAAGATTAATCAGCAGGGTTTCTTTCAAATTATCTCCAGAGCAGAAGGTTACTCAATTAAATAGCACATTCCAAATATTCCTCTTGAACACTAACTTTTTAAGTTAAGAACCACTTAAAATGGGTAGGTAATAATTCCACCATGAACCGGAAGTAGCTTTCTATTGAAAGAGCAACAATTGGTTATACTGCTTCAGACACAACACTCCATAGCAAAAACAAAGCAAGCAAGGTCGCAGATCCCAAATCTACCTCAGCCGAAATTGGAATTGAACCTGTGCCATTGTTGTCATCCTGGGTCACCCAGTGGCCAACAAGCTAAATGAGTTAACCAGCCTCTCCGAGCCACTGAAATGGTTGGAGAAACATCGCCTGATGCAATCCTATTACAATCAGATCTAAGCTTCACATAAACTTTGCTGGTCAGTTGTCCAGCTGCAGTTTTCAAATCCTGGTCAAGGCAAGACTGGAGGCAGGGTGCAAAAAACAAAACTGCCACGGGGGGCAGGGCATCAGTTTCCTGCCATCTGCCCACCTCTGGGTCATTTTCAAAGAGGCCATCTTGCTTAGAGCCACAACAGCCACCTGCCTGCACGTGGTTGGTACCCAATTAAGGTCACGATGGCACCACTTAACTTTATTCTCTCACACTGACTGGAATTTTTAAGTCAGCAAAGCTCATCATTAGTGAAAAGGGATGGCCTCCCAACAGCAGGTAGGGTGGAGGGAGAGGGGTAGGAAGATGTTTAACATCCCCTCCCCCACAGCTAACTGGCAACTGGGCACAGCTATAGCTGCAGACTGAATTGTGAAGTGGATCTCCTTGCTTTGTGGCCATTTTTAAATGTGACAATGTTAAGAGTGCTGCGAGAGTGCATCCATCTTGGAACACCCTCTCTCTCTCCACCTTACCCACAGAGTGTCACTGTCTCATTGCTTGAGGGCCTCCTGTTGCTTCTCTGGTATCATGGGCCTGTTTCCCATCTTCAATTAGGTAACACACCTCTGGCTAATAATTGGCCAATCCTGCCAAAATTGTGACTCTTCCTGACACAATGCAGGATAAGGACTCAAAACAGAAAGTCCAGCAGCTAGATTCAGAGTTCTTGGCATTTCGTGAGTGATGATTCAAAACAGACATTCAAGCAAGGCTGATATTTTCATGTTAACTTGTTCTTCTCTCATATCCCACGTCAATGTTTTTTTTTTGAGGCTCGTACTCCAGCAGAACAGCTGATTCTTTGATGTTTTGTCCAAGTGGCTATTCTCCACGTATGAGCTAATCAGGTGGCTATCTGATGCTGTGGTACATTACAATTAAGTTGATCTTGTCTGTCATCACACATAGATCCTTATTGGTATTGATCACTGGATAGTGACCAGGAGCACAATATGTTTAGGTCTCCAGGCCCAAGTCATTGATAATAACATCAACACCAACTAGCATCAGCTAATTGAGTACATTCAGTAATCCAGGATAAGTGCAATTTTCCAATTGAATTGGAATTGATCCCAGCATCAAATCATTGTTAAATGCTACAATATGTTATAAGGCAGAAATTTTAAAAAACTGCAGTTACTTTCTGAAAGCTGATCTGCTTTAAGTTCATTGGAAGTCTACCCACTCAGTTTCAGATGTTGCCTGGCCTGCTATTTAGTTCCATGATTTTACGCTTTTTTAAAAAAAGATTCAGATTTCCAACTTTGCCAACTCTCTAACAATGCTACACCAATCTGTCCGATTCACTGGCAGATATTAATAACCAATTTTTGTACAATTGCAACAAACACTGTCGTACTCTCAGACTTGTTAGGTTGCATAGCACATTTAATTACAGATGTTTTTACTTATTCTTCCATGGGATGTTGGCATTGTGGCATTTATTGTCCATCCCTAACCATCCCTTGAAAATAAATGGTGTGTTCGGCCATCTCAGAGTCAACTATGTTGTTGTGGGTCTGGAGTCTCACGTAGGCCAGACCAAGTAAGGATGGCAGATTTCCTTCCTTAAAGTACATTAGTGGACTAGATTTTTAAAAAAAATTGATAATAGTTTCATGGTCACCACTACAAGGATTACTTTCATTTTTGGATTTATTCATTCTATTCAAATTTCACCAGCTACCATGGTGGGAACTGAACTTGTGCTGTCACAGCATTAGCCTGAGCCTCTGCAATACTAGTCCAGGACCATTACAATTGTACCATCATCCTCTTCCAGTGATACAATATTATTTCACAATTGGCACAAAGATTGAATTAAGGTTATTCAGTTGTAGTCTTGTTTGTCACAAGATGCCACAGTAACGAACTACGGATGATCTGTAAACACATGCTTTACTGCCAGCATATCCTTTATATCAATGTTGCCTTGGTGATTCTTAAAATTATAAAATACAAATATTGTATTTTCATTGCTAAAAATATCAGTGAGTGCAGGCAATGGAATTTGAGTCAGTTACCAAGATGCATAGGGGAGGCAGCAGCTGTAACACACTATGATGAGATTGCTGAAACACATCGGGTTAATGCTCGTCCCTTGTTCTTGCTTAATTCCCGAGTCTGCCTCAGTAATACCCTCTTATTTCACCAATATTTTAAACTAAGATATTCAAGAACGGAATAAAAGTGTGGAGTTACCCCTTTAAGTGGAGCAGCATTGTTTAAACTCAAAAGAATAAGATCAGGAGATGTTATATAGGTTAATGGGTGCTCAGGGAGACCCTGTGGTTAAATCTAAATAGGTACCGTGTCATTAAATAGAAACATGCACTGGGGAACAGGAATGTGGGTCACTATGAAGGGAACTCCACTTCAGGAATTAACTTTCTTTGTCATTCACAACAATTGCACTGTTGCACGAAGGAAACCAACTTGAAGGTTTAAAAAATGTACAGAACTATAACAGTACAACTAAGAACGCGACATTTAAGCAAATCTTGTTGGATCCATTCAGCGTCGAGCAGACAAAATGTTAAATAAGCAATGGATTTCTCACGCAACAATCTTTTAAGGACACCTTGGGTTGGACTTCATTCTATCAAGATGACGGGTTTTAAGGTGAGGCTCCCGGGAGTTACGTGTTACCTGACAGTCTGCCAGCAAACTCCCAACCTTGGGCCAATTTTGAGGGAAGCTGCTTTCTTGGGGTAGGGGGTGAATTGGCCATGCAATTTCCAGCAGTAAGTTATGAGTAAAGCTTATTAAAATACCTCAGGAGAGCGCAGTGCACACACACTATCTGAAATGTTCAGATGGTTTCTGTGGGCCCCTTCGATGTCGAAGTCTAACAGATAGATGGAGGCAAGCTGGGTTGCAGGTGGAGGGGCTAATGCTGATGCCTCATTGAACTCCTTCCCCTGCAACAGAGCACTGCAGCTCCAGCCCCAGGTCATGGAGGGTGCCCCTTTCACAATGCTGGCCTGGCAGCTGTGGCCACTTTTTGTTTTTTAAAACACTAAAATGTTTTCAGAAGGAATCTCCATCTTGAGATGCCATGCTCTCCCTGACCACCCAGAGCTTTCAGTGCTCCAATTCACCTTCCTGGATGCAAAGCCCTGAAGACACTCTGTTGTGTGGCTGCCTTCTCCAAAATCTTTGAGGGCCCCAACACAGACTTTTCCAAAGTCCCTACAAGATCTTATCCCATCAATGGGACTGGGATATGGGAATGACAATCCAGACACTTACCTGTGGTGAAGTCTGTGATAATAAGGGTTACTGGCACACTCAAGGCTACAAACATGTGCCTTATTTTGAGCACCCCTGACTTAGTGTAAATGAGTATCTTAGTTCATTTTATATAATCTCCAAATGCACATCAATCTCAAGCTTCAAAAACACCCAATGCTCTAATTCTCTTCTCACCTGTACAGATGCACAAGGCAGGTGAACACACGCTTATGTCTGTTCATAGCCATTTTTGCATAAAACAGGTCACTAGCCAGAGGTTATAGCTTGAGGGATACTACTATAAATCGAGTGTGACTGACCAAGAGACTCTTCCATTCTTACTACCTGCCACTCATTGGGAGGATTTATAGATTGATAGTCAACTTGCTTGGCCATATTATGAGTGCACCCTCAATGGGGGTCAGTTTAGCTCTCTTGGCTGGATGGTTGGTTTGTGAAGCACTGTGACACCAACGGCATGGGTTCAAATGCCATCACCGGCTAAGGTTACCATGAAGGACTCTCCTTCTCAACGTCTCCTCTTGCCTGAGGTACGGTGGCACTCAGATTAAACCACCACCATTTATCTCTGCCTAACAATCTGGGTTAGAATCAGAGAACACTTATTTACATAAAGGTAGAAACAGAAAGCACTGGAGAAACTCAGCAGCTGTGGCAGCATCTTTGCAAGAATTAAAAGCCAACCCCTCTGTCTTTGGCTTTGAGCATCCTTACAATCTGTTCCAATTGCTGCACCTTCCCCACTCTTTCTACAGCATAAAAAATAAACAATTTTCCAACCCCTTTCAGTTCAAAAGAAGAGTCATGTCAGACACAAAATATCAACTCTCTCTCTCTCCAGATCTGCTGAGTTTCTCCAGCACTTTCTTGCAACTTAGCAATTAAGCATTAAGTCCATGATATATCCATTAGGTCACCTAAAAGCGACATTTTATGGCAATTAAAGCACTGAGAATATTCAGCTCCACATTGTGTACTCCACAGGACTAGAATACTTCTTTCTGCATGGATAAACTTCACTTGATGTTAACAGGTAAAGAAACTTAAGCAGAACAACGTGAAAACGTCCAAGTAAGAATTAGGAATTGATACAGGCTTGGTGGGCTGAAGGGCCTGTTCCTGTGCTGTATTGAATTGTATTGTATTGTATGTTTGCGTTCAATGGATTTCAGATATCGCAATAGCATTCCAGCAGGTCCAAAATGGGTGAAACAAATTTTTTTAACCGAGTTAAAGTAACATTTTAGATTATCAACATCAATGCAAACTAGTGTTTGCAAAAGACACGTTGTAAGGCTCTTCAATGAAGTTGGCGTGAAACATGTTATATCAGATAGTGCATATGCTTGATTAACCAAGCATTTGTAGAACATTGTGCTTTATCAGCAAACCTTTAATCCATCATCTCCAAAAAAGCGACACTTCACATCACCTCAGATTGGGTCTATGTAGAAATAGATTCTTCCCAGTACACCAACAAACTGCAGGGAAAATGACTAATGCTATTCAACTTATTCCATTGCATGGTGTCGTATTCCCAAAGCTTTATTGTATAGATACGACCAATAAAAAGTTTCAAGTTAATACATGTTGTTTATTGGTCTTCGTTCACCATCAATGGTTTGCTTCTGCTACAAAGTGATTATTGTTTATAAATCATATTACTTTATTTTTAAAATAGTTAATTCTTCCCAAAGTGATTTTATTTTGCACAGAGAAGTGAAAACCAGAAAGAAAAATGGAATGTTCAGAAATTGAGCATAAAAAAAATTTGCAGATCGGATAATTAATACAACAAAGCTTTTGGATGGGGAATTAGATCAAGGACAAGGTGTAAAAGATCCATGGCATTATTTTGAAAAAGTGCAGATGAGAGACCTGGAGACCTGGTCAATAGTTATTTCTCAATCAATAAAGTAAGAACGGAGCATATGGACATTAACACAACGCTATTTTTTTGGAGCTTTCTGTGCTATCATGTTTCCTACATTTAAAGTGTACTTGGCTGTCAAATACTTTGGGACATCCCACAGTCATAAAAGGTCCTATATAAGTGCAAGGTGTGGAGCTGGATGAACACAGCAGGCCAGGCAGCATCAGAGGAGCAGGAAAGCTGACATTTCGGGTCTGGACCCTTCTTCAGAAATGATAGAAGGTGGATAGTGGAGCGGATAGGTGGAGAGAAGACTGGTAGGTCAAGGATGCGGGGATGAAGCCAGTAAAGGTGAGTGTAGATGGGGAGACGGGATGGTGGTTGGTCAGTGAGGAGGGAGGGGCGGGTAGGTGGGAGGGAAGACGGACAGGTCAAGGAGGCGGGGACGAAGGTGGGGGCTCGTCTTGGGATGAGGTTGGGGTTGGGGAGATTTTGAAGCTTGTAAAGTCCATACTGAGACCATTGGGTTGCAGGGTTCCCAGGCGGAATATGGGATGATGTTCCTCCAGTTTTCGGGTGGCATCGTTGTGGCACTAACGGAGGCCCAGGATGGACATGTCATCCAAGGAGTGGGAGGGGGAGCTGAAGTGGTTCGTGACTAGGAGGTGTTGTCGTTTGTCATGAACCAAACGTAGGTGCTCCACAAAGCGGTCTCCAAGCCTCCGCTTGGTCTCCCCGATGTAGAGGAGGCCACATCGGGAACAGCAGATACAATATACCACATTAGTGGATATGCAGGTGAACATCTGTTTAATGTGGAAGGTTTTCTTGGGGTCTGGGATGGAGGAGAGGGGTGAGGTGTAGGGGCAGCTGTAGCGCCCAATGGTGTCAATGTGGACTTTACTAGCTTCAAAATCTCCCCACCCCCGACCTCATCCCAAGACCAGCCTCCCCTCTCGTTCCCGCCTCCTTGACCGGTGTCTTTTTTCCCACCTATCCAATCCTCCCACCTCACTGACCAACCCCCACCCCTACTTCCTACCTACACTCACCTCACCTCTACTAGCCTTATCCCCACTTCCTTGACCTGTCTGTCTTCCCTCCCACCTACCCGCCCCTCCCTTCTCCCTGACCAACCCCCATCCCAACCCCCTACTTACACGCACCTTTACTGGCTTCATCCCCGCCTCCTTGACCCATCCGTCTTCTCTCCACCTATCTGCTCCACTATCTACCTTCTATCATCGCCTCCCCGCCTCTCTATTTATTTCAGAGGCTCCTTCCCCTCCTCCATTTCTGAAGACGGGTCCAGACATGAAACATTAGCCTTCCTGCTCCTCTGATGCTGCCTGGCCTGCTGTGTTCATCCAGCTCCACACCTTGTTATCTCAGACTCCAGCATCGGCAGTTCCTACTATCCCTATATAAGTGCAGGTATCTTACCTTTTTACAATACCATAGGGATCACAGTAAAACGTGATCAAACACAAAAAACCTTGAAGCTATGTCTAATTCATATGCTGAACGTGGAGGTACTCCGAGGTGGGTGTGAAAATCCACCTGATTTCAATTCAGTGGTGCAGACTCTCTGAGGCTCAAAGCTTGATTTGTGACACTCACGATTTTCCAACAGCTTAGATCAACGCTGATAGCTCGTCAAATTGGGAGCAGCGATCTTCATGGCTGATTTAACAATCAGCAGTCTGTTAGGCTGTAGCTCCTTGCAAACATAGAGTCTTAGAAAATGTACCCTATTATGTGCAAAGTTTTATTAGATCATTCCACTGAACTAGGTAAGGATAGATTGGCAGAGTGAAGAGAGATATAACGAACAAAAAAATTACATAGCTGCAGATGTAAAATAAAAACAAAAGGTGGAAAAAATAGGATTCTCTATGAAGTATCTAATGCAATAAGTAATTATTATTTTCAGGAAGACCTACAGTAATGATTTTCAGGTTATTTGATAAAAAATATTCTGATTATTCATTATTTTTGATTTTATCACTATTATAGGCTTTGATACGATTCAACAGTGATTCAGAGCAAATATACTTTGCTCTATAGTCACACTGTCAGCAATGATTCATAACACAAATTATGCAAGCCATGCTTCCTTTAGGAAATATTCCAAACAAAGCACAGAAGGTCGAAGAAAAAGGTCTTAATCTAAACTCCAGTTTTGCTTGTTCTACATAATCTTTTCCTCTCAAGGTGCCAGATTTTTAAAAATTTATTTGTTCATGGGTTGTCTGGTACTGTTTATCCCTAATTATCTTACGAGGGTCATAGTCAGCCACCTTTTCAAACTGTTGAAGTCTGCATGGTGTATGCACACCCACTTGTTTAAACTTATTGCAGGTTGACACAACTGAGGCCATCAAAGCTGGAATTGAACCCAGGGTCCTAGTGCTGTGCGGCAGCAGTGCTAACGACTGGGCCACTGTGCCACTCCAAATTGTTCTGTGTTTGGAGTCATATATAGGCCAGACCAGGTAACTAGGTTAAATTCCCTTCCCAAAAAGACATCAGTAAACCGGATGGGCTTTTACAACATAGTCATCATTGCTGAGACTAGCTTTTCCATTCAAGATTTATGAACTGAATTTAAATTCCACGAGCTGCCCTGGTGGGATGTGAACTCGTGCCCCACAGCAAAAGCCTGGACCCCTGGATTAATAGTCCAGTGACATTTCCATTACACCAACACTTGCTATGCTAAGATTATACTTAGTACGGCAGAATAGTTTGGTACATTAACCAAATAGTCATTCTCCATGTCCCAGCACAGAGAGTTTTTCAGGCTATTCAGCAGTTGAGACCTTGATACCTGAGCTTTTGCCCTCACTCAATACCGACAGTTACGTTTCTTATTTTGGTCTGGGTCACTGAACAGCAATAATAAGTGAGGACTGTGGCTCAATAGTCCTCTCAATAGCATAGGCTGATTGTCAAACCCCAGCTCAGTTGAAACTGCATAGAGCAAAAAGGATATCTGGTAACCCCAGGCGCTGCATTTATCCATTATATTACTGGGAAACCAAGCTCTAGCAGACAGGGGTGGCTTTGTAAAGGAGAGTGTGAAAATGAAAGCAGATTAAATGGAGAGCTGTTGAAAAACTTTTATTTACCTGGAAGGTAACCTGAGCTGTATAGGTCAGTTTATCACACTCAAACAGTCCTCTCGTTGTGTACTGGAACACAGAAAATGTGATGCTGTCAATCAAATTGGCAACTCTCTGCGTGAGGACTTCGTCAGCTGGTGCCCTTTTCACAGCCATTTGGAACACGACACTAAAGGCCTGAAAAGAAAATAGCAGCAGAATTTATTAGCAAATTATGTCATTGAACATTGTATCATCAGGAATAAAATCTTTATTCTATAAACACACTAAAGTCAAGATTAGATTTAGTTCTTCATTCTTTGCTGGCAATTTAATATCAAAACGCAGTTACTTTCTGAAACATGAAACAAATTGCTTCAAATCCCCAGGCAGTAATTTTTTTGATCACTCTGTAAAGCAATGAATTTTGCACTTGATGAATTTTCTTCACAGTTCTGCAGAGATTTTGACACCTGACCTTTATTTTCAATACAATAACGGTGAAAGGATTAAAACAATGAAACTACGTTTAAAAATCAAGGCTGTTTATTGAAGTAGTTCATCTGCTAAATTGACCAACAGGGAATGAAGTGAACATCTGGTGGGCTTGTACTGGCATACCTTCAAAGAGAACTGGTACATGGGGTGGATTTTATTGAGATCATTCATTATGAAGTACAATAGAGAGGCTCGTCCTGCGGCAAGTCGGTAGTGTTCGCGTGCCTCGTTGATCTTTAGCTCCGTCACTTTGGCCTCTTTAACCTGCATTAAAAAAAGAGTTGAGGATCAAATGGTAAGAAATAAGTGAGTTTACCATTGACTAATTCACAGAATGTGACTATGGGCTACAGGTTTGATCAGAACTAATCTGCTGGCATTATATGGGGCTGTTGTACAGAACATGAACCAGACTGTTGCAGTAGGGGACCTTGCCCTGAATTTTCAATTTGGCTGGAGCACGAGTACGCTGCTTTCAGGTTTCCCCATCAACCACTGAGCGTGGGGTGCGGTACAAGTAACCACAATCAATAGAAGGATGTCTAATTAAAGGAACCCCTAGCAGGGATCAGAGAGGTGCGAGTTTTGCATTGTTTTTCGAACATGAACAATAAAAGTGAAAGCAGAGAAGGAGACATTGTTTGCCTCAGCTCTCTGTAATATGTTGACTCTTCCCTGGAGCTGATGCTGGATGGACTGGAGGCCTGAAGAGCTATGTTGTCTCATGCTGACAGCAGGAAAAGGCCAACCACACAAAACAAGCTGGAGATTACTACGTAGATGGAGTGTGGTCTTTAGAACATGGAACAAGACCTGAAGTGGTTTTGTACCTCACAAGGGCACAAAAGGTAAGTGATGACCCACTTTCAGGTGCCATACCCCACACTCTGATTACCTCAGCATTCTCCTGCACAGCTATGTTCCTTGGATCATCACATCTTGCCCACTCCAATTATTACCCACTTTCAGGGCACATCATCATTTCAAAAGTCACACTTGTCCATATCTGAATGTCATCTCACATCCTCCACAGACGTGATCATTCCATTCTCCTCACATATCACACTTAACTCATTGCTTTCTCTTGCCTTTAGAGAAGATAGCACACAACTCCAGGGAGAGATCGAGGATCAGGCATGGCCCTGCTATCATAGTAACCCAGGAGAAAGCAGCCTTAGGGTGTGACTGAGCGGCAGAGTCTATTTGCTCGTGTCAGCATCTGCACAACTTTAATCCCGAGCATTTTCCCTGTATCATTCTAATTCATAGACTTCACTTCCCACAGGATCTTCCTGGGTGAGCTGCAGTTGGAGGAAGCTGAGAAGTCCTCAAATTGATACAGCACTTAGCCACATCCTCCTCTGGCACAGAAACCCTCATCACAACGGGATCACCAAAAGGGCTAAATGATTGTCAACTTCTGACTCTGGCTAGCAACCCCCATAAGTAAAAGTGGGCACTGACACGGGCATCATTGGAGAGTCCCTGTTTTGTTGGGGGGTACGATGATGTGATGCACTGCTTACCTGGAGAAATATGCTGAGCTCCTAAGATTGTCACAGAGGAGTAATGGGAAACCTGTATGGATTTGTTAGCATTCCTAAGAGACACTGTGCATTCTTTGAGTGATAATGGAAAGGTCTGTCGATTGTATGAGTGTCATGATGTCTGAGGCACTCCTCCTTCCACCTTGATAGAAACTGTGGCTATTTCCACAGAGTCAAATACAGCAGCAACTGAGTACCCAACTTCAGGAACGACCTGCCCACTATGTCTGTCAATGGTGGTTCAGTGGTTGGCACTGCTGCCTCACAGCATCAGGGACCCAGGTTCGATCCCAGCCTCGGGCAACTGTCCGTGTTGAGTTTGCACATTTTCCTAATGTCTTTATGGGTTTCCTCCAGAAACGTGCAGGTTAGGTGGATTGGCCAGGCTAAATTTCCGTAGTGTCCCATTAGATTAGGTGGATTAGTCATGGGAAATGCAGGGTTATGGAGAATAAGGTTAGAAGGGTATGGATCGAGGTGGGATGCGCTTTGGAGGCTTGGTGCGAGCTGAATGGCCTACTTCCACATTGTAGGGATTCTATGCAAGGAGAATGAAGGAAAACCTTGCCTGTCCTTTCAAGGTCTCAAATGAAGTACTGCAAAGACCACCTCAGACTCTGGCTAGCAGGGAGATGGACAAAGCACACTTAGGCATGGTAACACTTTCAAGGTTCTCCATAGGTCTCACCAACCTTCCAAAATCTTAAGGCAGAGACTCACATGCTGCTTTCTGACCCACTGACTGAGTCTATCACTTGTTACAATTGTAGTGAAAATGAATGATCAATACTCAACTTTGCGGATGACACCAAAGTCGGTGGAGTTGTGGATAGTGCGGAAGGATGTTGCAGGTTACAGAGGGACATAGATAAGCTGCAGAGCTGGGCTGAGAGGTGGCAAATGGAGTTTAATGCGGAAAAGTGTGAGGTGATTCACTTTGGAAGGAGTAACAGGAATACAGAGTACTGGGCTAATGGT